AAACTCCATTTTCTCATTCACCGGGAGGTTCTTCTTGAATTTCATGATTGTTTCCTCATACTAACAGTTTGTTGCTTTCATTGCAAATCGAATCTTTCTGGATGTAAGGAATCAATCCCTTTTGACTGAGCTCAGGTGACTGTTGATTATGATATGGTTTAGCATCCACTGTATATCATTCATCGTCACCTTTGATCAGACTTCTATATGAAAGAAATTTCTCCTATGCTTATTTATAGATATCTTTGCTTGTATGTGATGAGTTTCCTTCATTACAATTCTTCTTGTGTTTGCTTGTAAGTAGCATGGTGCTTGCATGGCAGATGTTCTCCAACAAATCAAAAATGCTTGCACTCGATGAAGCTCGGCCACCTCTCGCTTGCAAGGAATCGACGTATTGGATATTTGTTAGATCTTTCATAAGGGTTTGTAGGTATTCTCATTTGTCGCATATGGTCTGCTCTTATCAATAGAAGACCAATTTATTCACCCGGTACTATATGTTTATTGGACTTTCATTTGCTATAGTCCTACAGCATATCTATCATTGTTGTTTGAAAGTAGACTTTTATATACTCTTTTGTATATTAGTCTACCTTGATAGTAGAGAGACTACTTGTATGCCTTCCTTACTTTGCTTGTGATCCTGCCATGTCCTTTGTACATACTTGTCAACAAAACATCATGATCATCACATGCTTCTCTTTACCCCTCCTTTAAATAGTTAATTGAACATGTTATTGATCATGTGTCTTCCATAAGTGAACTTTCAATTCCCCACTTATGAGATTCCATTTATTTTTCCGTATATTGATACTGATTGTTATTGCATTCATCATGTTAATCATAAGCATGTTGCGCATCCCACCACTATATGTATCAACTTCCTTTATTTGCAAGGGGATGATCGTATTTGGCCACATGATTGATATACGCATCAATCATCATCATCTTTATACTATTCATAAGATGTTCTTTTAGATGCTTTTGAACGATCATGCCTTTGGCATCTTCATTTAAACCTTGTATTTGTTGAGTTAAGGCTAAGTGCCTTATTGTTTTGAGTTCAATTCCTTGTAGTCACAAGTTTGTTTACTTGTTCAAATGATCACATTCAGTTTGAACCTTTAGTATTCAAGTTTGATCATTTAAACTCAAGTGCATATCAATGTTATTTCTCATTCGATCTTTGCTTGCAAATATGCTTCAAGTTATGTTGAATTCTATAAGTCTTCTATTTGATTGTTGATGCTTGTTTGAACAATTCAAAGTCTGGCTCAACTCAGATGCTTCATTTAGATCCAAGTTCTTTAGAGTTCATGTTCTTTGGTTCAAGCTCAAGCTTCTGAGTTTAGTTCTAATTCAATGTGCAATGTCAAATTGAAGTTAGAACTTCTCACATCAAATTCATTTGAGTTCAACTTGAGTTCTTTATGTAGCTCAAATCAGATCCCTTACTGTCTTGTAGAATTCAAGTATAGTTCAAGTTTTGCTCCAAGTTTGAGTTCAAATGGTTCAAATTATGGCTCTCTTGAGTCAAATGAGATTCAAATATAAGCCTTATTGTAGTTCAAGCTCTAAGTCCACAAATAATCTTGTCAAGTTCAATCCAAGTCAAAGTTCTTTGTATATGTTCTTTTGAATTTAATTCCAAGTTTAAGTTAATGTCATTTGGTTCAAATCAAGATCAATTCATCATCCTCCATTGTACGAGTTCCCTGTGGTCCAACTCAAGTTTTTGCTTGAGTTCAAACATGTTCAAGTCCAAATCAAATTTGAGTCCTTGTTGAATTTCAAATTAGAGTTCATGTGTGAGTCCAAGTTAATTTTTTTGTTCTAGTCCTTATCATTTTCGGACAAAAATTTGGCAGCCTCCCGACGTCTCCCCTGTTTAGGGAAAAACCAAGAGGAAGCCTTCCCCTCGACGCTACGTGAGCACTTCAGGTAGGTGTCAAAAGACACCATAGTTGCATTTTTTTTAAATCCCTGCCCGCTAAATAAGCATTTCAGGGTTTCGAGCACATTTTGAAAAGAGCACAAATTCCATGCTTATGTGCATATTCGTCGCGGGGAACGCTTTGCGGAAGTTTCGTAAACCCTAAATACTGTATAACGTTCTATGTACAGTGAAGATAATCGGCCAAAAGTTTATATACCCGCATCTTTTAAAGTTTTCCCGCCTGTTTAAACGAAAAAGAAACGTCAAATATCCAAAAAACCGCGGGTTTGGGTCGGGTCGTCGGGCTGCTACGTGGCATAAAATTAATGGTGGCCGAACCTATAAAACCATTCGGTCAGAGGACGTAATAATTGTTCTGGAAGAGGAGGGCGACGGGATGAATCCGGCTTTGGCTAGGTAGGGAGAACTTATTTCTTCCTCTCTCTCTCTCTATATATCTCTCTCTCTCTCTCACTCTCTCTCTCTCTCTCTCTCTCTCTCTCTGGATCGGAACTAAGAGGTCGGGCAAGGCAGAGTTCGGATGTGGGAAGAGGAATCTGGAAGGAGAAGCAGGTCAGGTAGGTTGCTTGGGTTTGGCTCAGGTTCTAGGACAAGAAGAAAGTCTCAGCTCTGTGAAAGGGATCGTAGAAGCTCGCGAAAGGGAGGAGTTCGGGGGTTTGAGGGCTTCGTTCGCGTGGAGGAACCGACCCCGGAGGCCTCATCTGCTTGGGTATTTAACGACATACGTGGATTCTTGATCTAGATAGATCGCAGGATACTCAGACTATTTCGGCGTCGTTTGCAGAGATAGGGCTGTAGCAAGCCGCAATTTTTGTAGGATTTGCGCTTATTTTTTGGATTTTGGCCGAGGACTGTAAGCATTTTTATTTTCAATTTTTTTTTGCTTATCTGGTAGAGGTCAACAAGCTATCATTCAGATCTCCTTTAAGATCTCTTTATACACCCAAAACATATTTATACCAAAAAGAATGATCACTTATTTCTTCGCCTAGTGTTCTACGGGCTCATTTCCCTTACCTGCAGTATAACCACTGCTAAGGAGTTAGGCTCAATGAAATACACAAATAATGTATTAAAAAATAGTAATAACATGGTGAATAATTATTGGAAAGATATTAGAATTCTATGCTGGTCATAAGAAATACAATACATTTTGACAAGTCTTATGATGATTAGTCTTTTGCACTCTTTCAATTTTTCAGTTCAAGGTGGTATTCAGATTCCGAACTTTTAGAATTAAAACTACTCTCTCATTTAAGGTTGGGTCTAAATTCCCACTTTTAGAATTGAGAGTGTAGACTTACCTCTTCAGGTCTTTTGCCTTTACTTGTGCGAGCCTATTCCCCATATATGACTTGTTTTACTTTCTCAATAGCAATCCTTTTTTAACATCCATTTAACCATTATGACATATGCTATTTATAAACATATTCGTACATGTTCATACAAGAGTAAACTGAAGAACACTGAAATAAATGTCATCATATACATAGTAGTTATGAATTGCATTGAAATAAAGTTTATACTAATCTCTATAACATAGTTTGGCTATCTCATCTCTCTTGGAATTTATTCTTCTAGGTCATGTTTTCTTCTCATTTTATACACAACCTCAATTGAATTCCTCGTTCAACCCAAATTCTTTCCTATTTTCCTCCTTAATCTCCTCCTTTTCTTTTCTTTTCCAGCTGAATTCATCAACTAGTAACATTTAGCATTTAGAAACTGCTTTATTCCAGAAATTCTTACTGAATTACTGAATTAATTTGAGCACATACACACTAGTTTCAGCAACTACAACAACATACAACATACAACATTTAATTTCAACAACTATATAACAACATACAACACATACACACTCTGCTGTCTTACCAATTTCCAGCAACATATTGCAGAAATCCGCTCCACATAGCAGCCCGCCTCCTTCAATTCCCCGCTATTCTATAGTCTGCACGGCATCTACCTCTCATGCGTGAATGGAGAGGGGAGAAATGAACAAAGATTTAATGCTTCAGGATTTGTCTTAATATAATATTATGCACTAAGGCTCCACTAGAAGCCTTATATCATCTCCCAGCCACAGGATTTAATCCATCCGTTGCTTGTGCATTTAAGTGATTTAGCTGCAGTAATAATATTATTATAAAATTTATAGTGGTTGTTGACTGTTAAGTGTCTTAATATAATATTATAACTAGTGTAAAGTGGCTGCTAAAGTGACTATAAAGTGGTTGTTATTTAACTTAGTTTAACGTAGCTGTCAGAAACTTAATAATTATGCATATATTAGATGTCGAAATGCACAGAATTACATGTATAGAAGAAGTATATGCTTACATTTATTTTGAACATTTTGGATATTACAGGAAGCTCCTTCGACTTGTACTTCGCTTTGAAATAAAAGGTTGTCGAGTCTTTCTCCTTTGATCTGTTGCGGGCTCTTCTACTCGCCTCAACCAGGTCCCTTAGCAGCAGGTTGGGCCCACCGGCCCCTCACACGAAGGTTGCTGCCTCCACAAAGTTCCAAACTATCATCTTATAAGACCTTCCAATAGTTCCTTGTAGTTGTGTTCCTCCTTCCAATGCTATTGTGAGAGGAAGGAGGTGACCTAGGGCCACCTCCCACCATTAGAGTGCTTCTCAATCTAGAAATCAAGAGAGAGGAGTGGTAAGAAATGAAAAAACCTAACTGATTTAGATAACCATTCAAGACTAGAAGATTTAAATAAGTTAAATGAAAAAGAAAGTGCCATGATTTCTTGTTTTTCTTAGACCAAGGAGAGGTAGAATACATATTCGCTTTTTCCTCAAGAAAGTGCATGCATATAATTATCAAAACCAATCTTTTGTTTAACATTTTTAATTATTATAATAAACTAGCAATTCTGGTGCTCGGGACACTACATGCTTATCCATGAATACTATTCTTACATCTGATATGCTCAAATTTTTTTCTCTATTTGGAAAATTTTGTTAATTTTCCATTGGACTTGACATGTTTGACAATTGTTTGGATTAATTATTTCATCGTTTACAGGGTCTGCTAAAAGAGGGAAAAGATGGGATTAAACATTGGGCCTATGGTGGTGACTTTGGTGATTTCCCAAATGACTTGAACTTCTGTCTGAATGGCCTTACATGGCCAGATCGGACACCTCATCCTGCTTTACATGGTAAATCCTGGCCAACCTGCATTCTGAGATTCTGAATCATTCCAATATTTGCTTTTGTTGTACAGGCATGTTCTTTTAATGTTTCCACAGATAGGTAGATATGCATGTAGTTGATACATGCTATGGATAGCCCTGCTTATTATTAATATTGTGTGTTTCAGAAGTAAAGTATGTGTATCAACCCATAAAAGTTTCTTTAACTGACAGCAAAATCAAGGTATTATTTAAATCTGTTCAAAAGTTGACATTAATTTAATTATTAGCAACTAATTTTTTTACTTTATGTTGTAGATAGTAAATGCTCAATTTTTTGAAACAACAAATGCTTTAGAGTTTAGTTGGAGCCTTCTAGGGGATGGATGCATCCTTGGATCTGGGATACTTGAACTCCCAATAATATTGCCCCAGAGTAGTTATGAAATTGAAATTGAATCATCTCCATGGTATTCTCTATGGAATTCATGTTCAGCAGCAGAGACCTTCTTGACAATAATTGCGAAACTTGAACAATCCACACGTTGGGCAAACGAAGGACATGTTCTTGCTTCTAGTCAACTTCGTCTGCCTTCTAGAAGGAAGCTTGGCCCCCATGTATGCTTTCTTCCATACCTATTTTTTCATGGAGAAAATGGGATGTTTGCTTTGTAACAAATTGTTATCTTCCAGGCTATAAGCTTCACTGAAAAGGCTTTTTTACTTCTCGAACATGCTGATGACATCATAACAATTAAAAAGGATGGCAATTTCTGTATCAAATTCAATACTCGGACAGGAACAATTGAGAGATGGGAGGTAGAATTTCATTTATTTCTTCTCTGAATAAAATATTCTACTTAACCAACATAATCCTATGCGCATTTTGTCATCTTATACTATTTTTTCTCCATCTATAATGCATCTCTCCTACTTTCCCAATTATCTTCACATTTGCCTGCTTTTATTTTTTTGGCTGCATATATTGAACATTAATCCGTTGATGTTATTAAGACAGTTAAATACAATGTAAATTGTTTTCACATTTACTTCTTGTCAACCTATACCGGGCTGACACGTGTATCACACTACTCACTCTATTTGTATTTATAGCATCACTGTAGGCTCAAATGGATATACGAAATAATATTTCTTTCTTCTCTACTGTTCATCTTCTTCTTCTTGCATCTCATCTTCTTGGGTAGATGAGTTTCTACATGGTATCAGACGGGTGCCGATTCTGACGAACGGCCATGACAAATCAATCCTTCGTGTCGTCTTCTTCCCGAACGACATCAGAAGTTGTGAAAGCAACTCCGACAATCTCACCGTCGCTCAAATTCGTAATCCCTAACCTCAAACTACTGGTTCCTCACGCTCTTACCCCAGAAAATTTTCCTATCTGGAGTACCCAAATTGCCAAACTATTCAAGGCGAACGGGTTTGTAGAGTTTCTTGAGCCGACAACAGCTGACGAAAATGTTGATCCCAATCAAGATACTCAAGAACGGGCTGCCCTGGACCAAAATCTTGCCACGGCAATATGTTCCACGATATCTCCGGCAGTTTTACCGTATGTGATTCATCTTGAATCCACCTCTGTTATATGGAGCACGCTTCACACTCGGTTCCAGTCGTCAAACCGTTCTAAAGTAATTCAGCTCAAGCACGAGCTTCATAATATCTCGATGCAGGGTATGACAATGATTCAGTACCTCACTGAGATCAAAAAGATCGTTGATCAAATATCCTCGGCTGGCTCAACAATAGATCCCGAAGATGTGATGATCTACATCCTTAACGGTCTACCCGCTGAGTATCAGGCCTTCACGACGTCAATCAGAACAATGCAAACGTTTCTATCATTAGACAATCTTTATGCTCTCCTTATAAGCGAGGAGATTCATCTCAAATCTGCGGCGCTTAAATTTCCCAAAGCGCCAGATACTCAAGCAGCTCTGTTCACATACAGAGGACGCGGACGTCGTGGTCGCGGCAGACAAATTCCTGAGACCGACAGAAATCATATGACAACTTCCTCAAGCAAATCGACATGAATCATATGTCAAATTTGCAAGAAGAAAGGTCATCAACATGATGCTTGCTGGCATCGGCTCAATCCGAACTACATACCAAATCAACAATCTGCAAAACAATCATGTTGCAAATCTATTTTTTATGGCTTATGTTTTGATGATTGACAAACACTATGTCTCTTGGACTACTTGTTGCTTCTAACTTTTCAGGAATCAGAGATCAGACGATCAAGAAGGAGCCAAGTTCAGGATTGCGTAGGTTTAGGGTTGAGTCAGTCTGTACTTTTGATTTTCACCTTTTGAGTCTACTTGCAATGGTCAAAGAGACTGATGCTAAGTAACCCTACACACACACACTTGAGGGGTTTAGAATTTCTGTTTTTGCCCACATCGGCCCGGCCGATATTTATATCGTCTGGGACGATCAGCTTAAAACAGAAGTCTAAGTGAGGATTCTTAATTAAGGCAGCCGTCATTAACATATCGGCCTGGACGATACGTGTATCGGCCAGGACGATAAGCTCAAAATAGAAAGAAGTAGCCGCCATAGACAGTTAAGGTATACTGTATTTTTAAATTATCGGCCAGGACGATCCAAGGATCGGCCTGAACGAAATTACCAAATTATGCCTTAATTGATCAGGAAATCAAGGGAGTAATTAAGGATGATTGATACAATCATATCGTCCTGGACGATCGCAGGATCGGCCAGGACACCATTACTCGCACTCTGCTTCAGCAGTCGGGGCTACCAAATTCATACTGGCTTGATGCAGCTCTCACTGCAACATATCTTATAAACCGGCTGTCGTCCTCCAACATTGCGAAATTGACTCCGCTCCAACGAATGTTTAGCATCTCACCATCTTACGCACATCTGCGTAATTTTGGTTGTGAATGCTACCCTCTACTCCCTCCGACACAGCGTAACAAACTTACTCCTACCTCTGCTCGTTGTATCTTTTTAGGATACTCAGACACTATGAAAGGTTACCGGTGTCTGAATACAGACAATAAAACGGTGGTTATTTCTCGTCATGTTCGATTTAACGAAAGTGTGTTTCCTTTTAAAAATATACTCTATGCAGGAAATCCAATACACATTAACATTTCGCCGTCCTTACTTCAACCCACCTCCATTCTTCCACCTAAGGAGGCGACCCTCTCTTCTCATACATTGCAGCCTCTTCCGGCACAACCAAACAGACATAATCAGCCAATTATCTCTGTCCAAGAACCATCTGCGACTCAAGGTGTTCCCGACCACAATGCGGCTCTTGCTCCTCAGCCAACACATCATATGACCACTCGCCTGAAGACCGGCTCACTTAAGCCAATAAACAAGCTCAATTTGATACACACAGAACATACATATACTGATCCCACATCCTTTTCTGAAGCCAGCAAACATATTGAATGGAGAAAGGCAATGGAAGAAGAATTCTTCGCTTTACAAAAACAGGGAACCTGGGAACTTATTGCACCTCCAACAGACGCATCAATCATTGGTTCAAAATGGACCTACCAAAAAAAATCAATTCGGACGGATCTATTGCACGATTCAAAGCTCGGTTGGTTGCACAAGGAAATCAACAAGCATACGGTTTGGACTATAGAGATACCTTTAGTCCGGTAGCTAAGCTACCAACTATTAGAATTTTATTTACCATTGCATTATTTCACAAATGGGCGGTTCACCAATTAGACGTAGCAAATGCTTTTTTACATTGCGAGATCAATGAAACCGTATATATGAAACAGCCGAAAGGCTTTGAAGATTCTACCTACCCAAATCACGTCTGTCGTCTACGCAAAGCTATCTACGGGTTAAGGCAGGCACCGCGCCAGTGGTACACCACATTTACAACTTATCTTCTAAAGCTCGGCTTCACTCACAGTCAAGCGGATCCATCACTGCTTCTTCTCCATCGGAATCACATTCAAATTTATCTGTTAGTCTACGTTGATGATATACTAATAACATGTAATGACAATAAGCTTATGATAGCGCTCGTCAATCAACTAAAATCTCAATTCACCATGAAGGATCTCGGAACAGCTCATCAATTCCTTGGACTCAAAATCGATACTCACTCAGATAAGTATTTCATGTCTCAATATGTTTATGCTCAATCCATTATAAACATTGCCGAATTGCAGAAATGCAATTCGGTAGCTAATCCATGCGCAAATAAAATGCCAGTTATTTCATCAGACGCTACACCCTGCTTTACTCAAACGGTCTAACGTCAAATAATTGGATCCCTTCAATACTTGACATTAACGCGTCCCGACATCGCATACGCTGTTAATATGCTCTCTCAGCACATGCATAACCCGGAGATTCATCATACTGTCCTGCTAAAGAAATTAATCAGATATATCAAAGGCACAATTGGATTCGGTCTACCAATTACGCGATCAAATCTTCTTCTTCGCACGTTCTCTGACGCCGATTGGGCTTCGGATCCTCTCACTCGCAAGTCGACTTCAGGTTTCTGTACGTTTCTTGGAGACACATTAGTTTCATGTACAGTAAAGAAACAGCCAACAGTTTCGAGGTCCTTAACAGAATCCGAATATAGAGCCTTGGCATTTGCCACTGCAGACACAATTTGGATAAAACGACTACCGGCAGGCTTCCGCATTGTTCATAATTCTCCGGTGGATATCTTCTGTGATAATACATCCACGATAGCTCTGGCGAACAATCCCGTATTTCACGCAAGATCTAAGCATATAGAGATTGATCAACGCTTTGTTAGAGATCACATTCAAATGGGCACAATTCGACTGATGCCGATCAGCACTGTGGATCAAGTCGCTGATATACTCACCAAACCGCTGGCGACTACCAGATTTCAGCTCTTAAGATCCAAACTAACCATCGGGCAAGATGGTTAGCTTGAGGGGGAATATTAAGACAGTTAAATACAATGTAAATTGTTTTCACATTTACTTCTTGTCAACCTATACCGGGCTGACACGTGTACCACACTACTCACTTTATTTGTATTTATAGCATCACTGTAGGCTCAAATGGATATACGAAATAATATTTCTTTCTTCTCTACTGTTCATCTTCTTCTTCTTGCATCTCATCTTCTTGGGTAGATGAGTTTCTACAGATGTTATTTGTATGGCTGCATATATTGAACTTTTTTTCCTCTAGTTTATGTTGAATTCCTTTTTGTTACATTTGCGGGGTCTTTTTACTCAATTGTTGGGAAAAACTCGTGTGATTCATGGTATTTCAAAAGCTGAATTTCCTTGGATATCATAATTTTGAAGTTTGTTCAAGCTCATCAGGTGAATTGACGTTCATTACTATAATTTATTTTCTTGTTTCTCTATTAACACTGATATCTTTCTTTTTTTGGGATGGTGGCAGTTGTTTCTTGTTTCTCTATTAACAATTATTGCGTCCTCCCACCTGACGTAGAGATACGTTCTCCCACCGCCAAAAAACTCGGTTTTTGCTCGGTATTGCTAGATATTATTTGATAATAACGAGAAATATCATCATGTGAAGACCAATACCGAGTTATACCGAGCCATACCGAGCAATACAAAAAAATACCGAGTTTTTTCTAGGAAAAACTATGTATTTTTTTGTATTGCTCGGTATTGCTCGGTATAGCTCGGTATAACTCGGTATTGGTCTTCACATGATGATATTCCTCGTTATTGTTTGGTATTGCTCGTTATTTGCTAGGTATTTCTCATTTTTTAGCGCGATTTTAGCTCTTGGAGGATGTATCTCTACATCAGGTGGGAGGACGC